TATTATCCTCCTTATTTTGTATTTGTTTGTATTTTATTTGTATTTTTGTATTTTTCTCCTGCTATTTGTACCTGAGCTGAGGTAGCGCACAAATTTCCCCGCCGTGGGATCAATAAAGTCTTATCTTATCTTATCTTATCTTATCTTATCTTATCTTATCTTATCTTATCTAAATGCAATGATATTTCCAGTATAACATCTGAAAACGAAACAAAGGAGGCTCTTAAGTGTTCTTAAAAACTGCTTCAAACACGTTCTTATATCTGGACCCACTGCTTTATCTAAATGAGGCAGAAATGTTTTTGGCAGGAGATTGAACCTCATGTGGGCTTTTATAGACCATCCATTCATCCATTCTCTTCCGCTTATAAAACTCAGGTCAGGGTCGCAGGGTGGCTCGAGCCTGTCCCAGCTTCCATAGGGCGAGAAGCAGGGTACACTCTGCACAGGTTGCCAGCCTAACACATAAAAACAGCATCTGGTATTCCCGTGCGGTATCCCATCCATGTGCTGTCCAGGCCCGACGCTGCTTAATATTCAGGATAAGCCATAAGCCATAGCACCCTGTTGCCTCACAGCAGGAAGGTCCTGAGTTCGGTTAATAAAAAAAAAATCCCCAAATGCAATACTTGATCTGAATATTAAACTTTTAAAATTAAAGTAGAATTATAGATGAAAGGTGGCAAAAATATTTTTCCCTGAAGAATATCAAATAAATCAGAATAAAAGTATGTAACCACAGACTGTCTTTACAATAATATGGTTACTTCCGACGCCCCTCTAGTGTGGCAGCCTATTACAGGAGCTCTGCTCATTTCTGAGCCCTTTCCTATTTTCCTCCTTTAATACTAAAGTAAATTTAAGCATACACTATGCCTACAGCATACCAAAAGCTCTTGCCACTTGGCAGATATCTTGAAAGATCGGGCAGTTACTTAAGCTTTTACTTATGGCCTTCATTTCTGTGGAAACAGGGAAATAAAAATATACGTAAAGATTCGCAAGGCATATCTGGAAAAAATGAAGGCTTTCTTTCCCAACCCGTTGTAGAGAGCGGGAACTCAATTTCCCAGAATCCTCGGTAGGCGTGTCAAACAGCGCAAATGCAGCGACAATAAAAGCAGGTCACAACAACATCGATTAGAGAGATGAGCGACCCGCAGGGATCTCAGGGGAATATACGTTTAATTATAAGTTTTGTTTCATGCCGAGACTCTGGTGGAGTCATTAAGCTGACTCCGTTTATCTTTACCGACAAAAAGTGCGCACACGGACAAAACAAAGCTACGAAGACTCACTGACAGACTGTCAATATGGCAATTAAACGACCTAAAGTTGCTATTGGATTCATAGTGGCAGGTGTGCTGATGGTGCTTTTCGGCACAATTATGTGTTTTGTGGTGCCATTAGTCATCGACGATCAAATAGTAAAGGTAAGAAACGTCCTGACACGGATAGTTAGCATGTTTTACACATGTGCTTTCATGTGTGTGAGTCAAGCAAGATTCACCTTTAATCGTACCCGAGGACTTAAGTACTTCAAAGAGCCTCCAGAGTTAACCAGTAAATGATAACAGGCGCGTGAAGATAAGCTAATCACTAAATGCATGTAGTCAGATTAAGTAACAATGCTAATAGCTCCGGAAAAACTTTCTGAGGCTTTTAAAGAGTCAAGCATGCCCAATGTTAGTAAAATGATTTGATTAACTAACTAAACTATTATTGGTAATGTCATTTATTTCCATATTAAAAATCACAACAGGCTGAGGTTTTTCAACTTTCCTTTCACTCAATATATCCCAGTAAAACGATACAAGTAATATTATTATTTAAATAATGTGCAGAACAGGGAAAAATACGTGCAAAAGTATTGCCTACTTCCCCAGTTTGCTTTATTTCTGTTGTCAGTTCAAAGTGCTGATTTTGCCCGTTAGGGCTAACTCTGTAAGTTGTAGTTGGTTCCCTTTTGCAGTTGACCTTTGCAGTTAGGGCACATGCTGACCGCTGTCATCCTTCCCTGTTTGAGCTAAATATGAGGCTACAAAACATAAACATGGTGAGAAATATAGAATTTCTACATATCAGGTGTTTGAACTGTACTGCACTATCAAAGACTGGATGTATTTAATAATTTTATTTTCATTTTTCACATATAAAAATCCAGAAAACATAGTTACATAGTGTTTTTACTTTCTAACTAATCACTCAATGTGCTCAAATTAGTAATTACATAAGGAGCACCACAAAGAAGTATTCTTAAAAGGAATAGATTCATATCATATTTATAGGAACATTTGTGACTATAACAAAAACCTAAATGTAAATAATTGATTTATATTAGAATGAAATGTAATGTTGTGTAACTTTTAAGATGATGAACCACAATCTCTGGATTTGGGACCTTTTAGGTAAATAAAATAAGAAAAAAGCAATTTGAAGGTGTCCCCTTGAATTTAGATTTTTCTTCTCTATTAGTTTGTGAAAACGTATAAAAACCTTAATGAAGAAAATGCTCATTCTTTTGCTTTTGTTTTTTCCTCTCTTTCACATCAGCACACAGTAATTGATCCAAAGAATGATCTCACATACACCATGTGGAAAGACATCCCTGTGCCGTTCTTTATGTCCGTCTACTTCTTCAATGTCCTCAATCCTGCTGAGATACTGAAAGGAGAAAAGCCGATGGTGGAACAGAGAGGACCTTATGTTTACAGGTACACAATTTAACTCCTGAGGACTTGTGCTCAACCTTAACTATCAGTTAAAAACTTTAAATTGTTGGATACTTAAACTTCAATAAAGTTTGCTCCAGTGAAACTCCAAATGGACTTATTTTTTGTAATAAAGTTAGATTCATAAAATTAATAATTTTATTATCAAATTAGAAATTTTATTAATGGTATAATACTCTGTGTGTCCCAGAAAAGTCCTGTTTATAAAAAATGTAAAAGAATTAAAGATCCATTTTACTGGAAGGAACTTCATTGGTAAACTGGAGCTAAGTAAATGGCCTGTATTTGTATAGCGCTTTACTAGTCCCTAAGGACCCCAAAGCGCTTTACACATTCAGTCATCCACCCATTCACACACTGGTGATGGCAAGCTACATGTAGCCACAGCCACCCTGGGGCGCACTGACAGAGGCGAGGCTGCCGAACGCTGGCGCCACTGGGCCCTCTGACCACCACCAGTAGGCAACGGGTGAAGTGTCTTGCCCAAGGACACAACGACCGAGACTATCCAAGCCGGGGCTCGAACCAGCGAACTTCCAACTCTTGAGCCACGATCGCCCTTGACTATGACTATAATAGCATAGTGTACGGTGGCTAGATGAAGGTTGATCGAAGGTTGTTGTACAGGTTATTATGAAACTAGACTCAGTTAAAATCAGTGCTCCAGCTGTTCATGTTTTGTGCATTGTTTCTGGATTTTTAAATCTTTCTAGCCATTTTGCTAATTCATGATATTGTTAATTTTGTGCATTAAGTAGACCTTGAGTGTTTTGAAAGACACCAGCAAAAGAAATGTATTAATGTCATTAATAATGACTGCTTAACTGCTTTCTACAGACTTATTACTGTTCTAGGAGTTTACATCCTTTGCTACAATTAAAAAAAAAACAAAACATTTTTTAATTTAGATTGCAACAGGATCTCTTTTACAACTTCATCTTAAATAATCAGTTTTTGCTCCTTTTTGCCCTTTAAGAAACTGGTTGAGGAATCGGTGGTTCGATGTTAATTGCAACTATTGCCACCTACAGATCTCGTTGAATGCCATTCATCAGTATAACCGATAACATTAAACTTAAGCCTTACAAAATTTAGCCAAAACTTTTTTTTTTTCTTCTAAACCTAGAACATAGAACGTAGAAGTGAAAACTAATTTTAGAAGTAGAAGTGTAAACAATTTTAAACAAGTGTTATAAGCGTGAGCTACAATTTATATCCATCCAAAAGGTGTTTTAAGGATCATTAATTTTTTTTTAAATATATGGCTAAACTTTTTTTTACATATTGTAATATGACAGTGAGCGTGTTTCAGTCCAACATTTTTGGTCATGTCCACAAGAGCATGTGTTCACCTTTTGTGCACCTTTTGGGATTTGAATGGGGGAGGGGAAAGCATTCTGGAAGGATGTGATTCTTATTTAAAGGAGAGAGGTTGCAAATGGTAGACCACTTCAGACATTTTTTTATTGAAAACAACTATCAGGACATTTCAGAAATAAATTAAAATGATTTTCCTGAGACACCAGAAGAGCTTTTTATTTTTTTATGGTTTGTCTTTTCTGTGTCTGATGTTTTAAAGTCTGTCAATTTTTGACTTTCTCGTAAGGATAACTGAATCCATTAAACCCTTAAGATGTGTGTACAGAGGTGGACTTGAAGCACAAGTTTTGAGTGGACATATTACCTGTCTTCCAGAAAGCAGTGTCAGAAGGAAAACATTACATTCCATCCCAACGGTACAGTGTCCTACAGGGAATACAGACAGTACCACTTCGAGCCCTCCATGTCTGCTGGGAACGAGTCTGATGTTGTCACAATTCCAAACATGTTGGTGTTGGTAAGACATTGTTGCCACCTCCTCACTTCTTGTTTGGTTCAATAAGTTCCTCAGTTTTCTGCTTTTTCACTGCCTGTGGCTTCTGTAATTTTAGGGTGCATCAGTGATGATGGAAAACTTGCCCTATGTACTGCGCCTCATGATGAGTGCAACCTTTAAAACTTTTAAAGAAGGTCCCTTCCTGACCAAGCCTGTAGGGGAGCTTATGTGGGGTTATGACAGTGGACTAGTGGATTTTCTAAATAAATACCTGCCAGGAATGATTCCCACATCAGGAAAATTTGGCCTCTTTTCAGAAGTAAGTATTAGAAATGCTTCGTTATCCTCTCTATCTAATTACTCTGAGCATAATAGGTTCAGTTTAAGGAACAGATTTGTCTTTTGCATGAAATTTCTTTGAGCAGGTAAAGAAAGGTGTCTGCCTTTTATGCTTTCTTTAGTTCAACAACTCCAACACTGGCCTGTTCACAGTCTTTACTGGAAAAGATGACATTAGAAAAGTCCACAGAGTCGACTCTTGGAATGGTCTGACGGAGGTATGATGCCAGCAGATTGTGTTTTGTTGCTGTTGTTTTCTTTTTTCTTCCCCTCACACCATTTTATTTTTCACACTGTAACTGGCCTCTTTCTCTTTGGTGACAGCTGCCATACTGGAGGACTGCTCAGTCTAACATGATCAATGGAACAGCTGGGCAGATGTGGCCTCCTTTCATGACGAAAGAGAGCACTTTGCCTTTCTACAGCCCTGACGCGTGCAGGTAAATGCTTTGCAGAATTGTACTTTTTTTTTCTCAGTTCTGCCTCTCCCATTATTCCTTCATATATTTACCCATTGTTTTTCCAGGTCTATGGAGCTGGTTTATCAACGTCCTGGAGAGATGTACGGGATCCCTCTATATCGATATGTTGCACCCAAGACCCTTTTTGCCAATGGGACAGATTATGCTCCCAATGAAGGCTTCTGCCCCTGTAGACAGTCTGGACTCCTCAATGTTAGCAGTTGCCGCCACAGTGAGTAATGATGATCAGTGTAGGAGAAATAAATATTCAGTCCATCACAGCATTCCCAGAGGTTATTAGAAAGACCTACCACTACCCATTTCTTTATATTTTGAAAAAAGAAAAATATAAAATGTGTACAATAGTTTTGGAAGTCTGGGGTGTTGAAATCCCAAATTTCATCACTCCAGGAAACCTGTTGCTACTGATTTTCAGACAGCTCATGGTCCAGATGTATTTCTCAGGTCCCATGTAAGGTCTTTGCTGGATTTTTTTTCCCTCCCCTATTTCATGAGGGCATGACTTTCAGATAATGATTGTCTGCTGTTGAGTCTTTTTTTTGTTCTTTTTCTTTTTTTTAAACCTTGATATTTTTTTTTTCTTATTTTGTCCTCTGCCTGTCCAGTTTCCTTTACAGGAACTCACTACACTCAAGTTAGTATGCCAAGGCTTATTAACTTTTCAGTTAATACCACTTTGTGAATTACCTTGATGGGACAAAACTATGCACTGATAAAATGCTAGACCTTTTGGAATTTTTCGTAAATTCATCTAAAGAAATTTCTGGAACAATTTATGTTATTTCTTTATTTTTTTTCACAGGCTCTTGGTAATAAAATTCTTAAAGATAGAATTTTAAAAAGTTGTCTCATGTGTACACAGAATGCAAAATTTTATTTTTGTCCACAAAAATAAAAACTGCCAGTTTTGAAACCCGAGGCAACAAGGGAGATGGCTACCAAAAACAACACTGTGGTCCCCGAATCTGATCTAGCAGCAGGTGTATATAGTTGCCTTCATATCCACCTTCGTTGTAGCCTTTATGTCACATACTTGTTATATCACAGGACACTCAGCTGCGTTGCTATTATGATGGCCACACACATTCGGTGGTACTTGATTGGAGTTGAAAATAGTCGATAAGAGCAGGTACTAATGGAAAAGGGGCTAAAGCTAATTGTTCTGTTGAGCTTCAAAACAGTGTTACAACCATGTGAGCTGGCTTTTG